TTCGATTTACAGGTTTTCGAAGTGGTTATGAGCTTCTTCAGTCTCGGAGTCATCATCTTCATCTCCATCATTTTCTTCTTCCAAAGAGAAGAAGTCACCTAAAGAAATGAGGCTGTCGCTTGGTTGCTGGTCCGGTCGGAGTTGGAGGAGAAGCAGTCGCGGCGTCGAGCAGAGATAAAGGAAAGCATTTAGTTTGTGTGTGTGTGTGAGGGGAAGCAACGGTAGAAGAGGAGGCGGAGACGGGAGAAGAGAAAAGGGAAAAGCGAGAGGCGGAAACGGGAGAAGATGAGGGAAAAATTAGGGCTAATGTTAAATAATTTGATTTTGAGGAGGTTGGGGACTTTTAGCAACGTTAATTTCATTGAACATCGTAAAAAGTCACACTTTTCGCAACGGCCAACTTTTTGCAACGTTCATTGAACGTTGCCAAAATGTCACTTTTCGCAACATTCCATGAACGTTGCAAAAGGTCACTTTTGGTAACGTTCATGGACCGTTGCGAAAAGTGACCTTTCGTAACGGGCTCTGAACGTTGCCAAAAGTGACATTTCGCAACTTTCAAATGAACGTTGCGAAAAGTGACCTTTCGCAACGTTCAATGACCATTGCAAAAAGTGAAACGTTTTGCAAGCGAAAAGTCTAACTTTTCACAACGGTCAACGAACGTTGCGAAATGTCACTTTTCACAACGTTCATTTGAAAAACGTTGTCAATACACCATTTTAGCAACATTCACCCACACGAACGTTGCAATTGACCCTTTTAGCAACATTCAATTAATGAATGTTGCCCTTTAAATGTTGCAAAAGCCCATTTTTCTTGTAGTGAGACACTGAGCTTTCAGTGACATTTCAATTGGATCGTTAAAATTTTATATATTTCAATTAGATCATTTAGGTCGTTCAACTTCAATTTGATTTTAAATTTCACCATTTTATCACTTATTGTCTTCCAAATGATAAAACATATTTTCTGTACCAATTTTACTAAGTGGAATCCAGCTTATTTTTAAATTTAACTGTGACAACTTGAGTTCTAAAATTCGAATGTCACTAAAATCGTATCTTGAACACCATATTACATTTTCAAAAGTTTGAAATTAATTTAAATAATATCATGAAATCATAAAATTGGATGCATAACTTAAAATTTTGACATTAAAAGAAAAGAAAATATTAAAAGTTTTAGCAGTCTTAGCCCTTGTTTGGCCCCCATTACATTACATTACATTACATTAAATTTTTCTCTATCTTCATTTCAACCATAGATTTATCAAATAAAATAATATTACACACAAATCAAAAAAATTTCAACCACACATTCTCCCATCAATCACTATTCTAAAAATTTTCAACTACAAAAAATGCAAAATAATGGGGGTCAAACAGGGGCTTAATATCAAATCAATAATTAAATAAGTTCTTAAATTAATAAAAGTGAGCCTGGTGGNATCTCCACTTCCGACCTATTTTCCATCGATTTCTTCTTCGTATCCGTTCGGGTTCACATCCTCATTCGTAGAAATCGTCCAAAGGCAAAAATTCGACCTATTTGTCATCTATTCCTTACGAGCAAAATCCCAGTGTAATTTTCATATTGAAACGCTTCTATATCGTTTTGTGTTTCAGGAACAATTTCATTATCGTTTTTCAAATTAGTGTATTTTTGTAATGGAACTACATTAAATACTCTGTGCCACAAGAACGAAGTACATATCATTACGTGAATATGCATTATATGAACACCCTGGACATGTACAATATGTAAACTTGAAAGATATAAAATAGCACGAAAATACGTAAATTTCAATTATATTTAATATCCATATTCATTACAGTTGCAAATGCACTAACTAGTAGCTACTAGCTAGGTAACATTATAGAAATATCGACATTTATAGGAATAGTAACTACTCCAGCAAAAAGAACGAGATACAACCACAAAATGTTATCAAAATAACAATAAATATAGCAAAACACAATCTAAGGCTCGAAGTTCCATGCCAACAACTCTGCAACCAATTTCTTCCACCACATTGGTACATAATCCAATCAAATTGCATTTACGTCCATGTTCGCTTGCAGAAATTCTATGTATTTCAGTGTGAATATCCCACGTACCTCTGAGTTATTTACTACCCGAGAGCAAATGGTGCCTTGGACGAGCGCATGGCTCCCTACGTCGTGCCGCGCTGTGCAAATTTTTTAGCATAACAACTTCTATATCGTTTTATTGGTCTATAACGATTTCAATGTCGTTATGAAAATCAGTAAAGCAGTGCGTTTTTGTACTAGAATGACATCTATATCGTTTTATGCCTTACGGACAATTTCAATGTTGTTACGTGAATTAGTGCAATTTTCGTATTGGAACCACATCAATATCGTTTTGTGTCTCAAGAATAATTTTAACATCCTTATGTAAATTAGTGTAATTTTCGTAATGAAACGACATCAATATCGTTTTGTGTCTGGGAATGAAGTTTACGTCATTATGTGAAGCAGTAGTTATATTTTCTCTTAAGGACCTATATATTGTTTAATTGGTCCGGAACGATATCAATATCCTGCCATGTATGATAGTTAAACTTTAAAGTTTCAAAAGTATTAAAATATGTAAACTTCAGTTCAATTTAACTATCCTAGACAAATAAAACAAAATAACTACATAACACCGTCAAACATCAAACAAAATAACAAAAAACAATCTAATGCTCGAAGTCCCATGCCAACAACTCTGCAGCCAATTTTTTTCGCCATATCGATACACAATTCAAACAAATTGCATCTTTGCTTGCAGAAATTCTATGTACTTCAAAGTGAACATCCCGCAGTAAGATCTATACAATTGTTGTGAAGTTACGTTAGTTCTCAACACTAAAATAATACAATACCTAACAAATATAATATTTGTCATCACTTGTGACATGAAATTTTATCAGCAAAGGTATAACCTCCTGTAGGGGCAAAATCTTTGGCAGTATATATTGTAAAATTAAGAGTGATTCCATTCCATGGTAATTAATGAAGGGATAGAGTAGGATTATACCATACAATGCACTTGTGAAAACTGTTTTTATACCATATAAATTCAGAAATTCTCGAAATCTACAAGGTGCCAAATAGTGAAATAGGCACTGAAAATATTTACTTCCATTCACACCATGTTAGGTAAGAAACAAATGTACCACATTCAATATTTCCCAACCCTCTATCGTTCAATTCATGACAAAACAAAGTAGAAACACAGATCCGTCTTTCCACATGACGGAGACAAACAAACTTTTGGATAGTTGGTAATTGAAAATAATGCACAGTTTCCCCACCATAATAGACAAATGGAAACAATAATTTCCATAGCCACTGGAAAAATAGAAAAATCTGCACATTAATCTTCAAGACAGATGGATGACAAGGATATTAAGTGAGTGTTTGACATTCATTTTAATGGGTTAAAAAATTTTGGAATAGTGATTGATGAGAGAATATGTGGTGGAAAAGTGATGAAAAGTTTTAGATTTGTGTGTAATATTATTTTATTTGAAAATTGTGTGGTTGAAATGAAAAAAGAGAATGAGAAAGAGAATGGGTGCCAAATAGGGGCTAAATAAAAAAAAAATCAGAATATTCAAATACAAATTCTAAATCAGTAGTAATTTTACAACTTCATGCAACCAAACTATTTCATCATGTTTGGGGAGCGTTTATAAACGTTTTAAATTATAAATATATAAAATTGAATTGTGAATAAGTAGGTAGTGCTAGCAAATCTCAAGTTTGACCAGTTATAAAAAGTCTATAAACATTAGCCAAACATATGTAAAGAATGTAGCACTTTTATAAAAAGAACATTTACTATGAAATCAAATCAATCAAATACACAAAAGTGAACAAGATATTCAGTAATCAGACAAAACATCAACCATTTCACTAAACCCAAATTTTCCATTGCTCGAGAACTCAAATTTCCACAAAATAACTTTAGCAAGCAATACAATCAATCAAAAAATAATAAAAATAATCCTATGGATCCAGAAGAAATGTCCTTCCATTTTTGCAATTGACATCCTTTGTGAGAAAATCCAGAACAATAAGTGTATAATATATAAGTATGGATGAAATGAGTATTAAAATTTTTCCACATCCACACATCCAGATGCAATTAGAATAATATCTAGAGTTTTGCAGAGTCCCCATTTCTTATGAACTTAACATTTCAAAAAAAAAAAAAAAAACTTACATTGATTTAACCAAATGTATGGATTTTTGTGATCTTTGATATTCAAAATCCTAAATGGGAGCTCATCGTGGGTTTGGAAAAGAAAAATACAAATTTCGAACCTCAAAACTCTCCCTTAACAATCGCCACCTTGGTAGATGTCTATGTCTTCGTTCAATTCAAAATCTTCCACAATTGTCGCCATCACAAGAAGGAAAAAATATGATTTTTGATGTCAAAGAGAAAACGAGGTTTGGGAATTTGAAGAAGAAAACAATTTTTGGGAATTTGAAGGAGAAGAAGGTTTTCAATTTTAATTTGGGAAATAATATGATTTTTGACGTGAATGAAGATCCAATTCATTCTTCAATTTGGTTTTACAAGAAAGGTTAAAATGATCTTTTCATACTTTTAAATAATTAAGCCCCCGTTTGATCTACATTATTATCTCATTAAAATGAAAAATATGATCGTTATTCATTACATGAACATTTAAATTCAAATTTTCTATCTCTTATGTTGCCCCAATAACGATTATATTTTTCATTCTAATTCTATAATAATTTGACTCAAGGCGTAAATTTTATTTTATTTTAGAAAATTTAGTCAAAGGCCATTTACGCAGATGGAGATTGAGGGTAGCCATTTGAACTCATTCCCCCAAAAATTAACGTGCCTCTGGCTCCCTTCTCCCCTTCCCCCGCTTCGTCCCATTTCTCAGCCAGTCCCAAGATTCTTATCCGTACATAAAACTTGACGTAAAATCAAACTAGGAAGCAACAATGAATGAACAACAACGATCGATCCTTCTCCACTCCGCATCTCGCTTCCCTCCACCACTAGGTACAACAATCTATTAAAGTATTACTTTTCCCTTTCAAATCTGATTGAATTACTCCTAGTATTCTATACTATGCGTTGATTTTGGTTAGAAGCAGTTTGAAATTAGTTTTTGATTTTATATGTTCTTCATTTTGATTTAGGGGTGAAGCTATCTTATGGTACCGCGGGGTTCCGGGCAGATTCGTCGCTGCTTGAATCGACGCTGTTCCGAGTAGGGATATTAGCGGCATTGAGGTCTGTACATACTCGGTCAGTTACTGGCCTCATGATCACGGCCTCCCATAATCAGGCTTCCGACAATGGCGTTAAAGTGGCGGACCCATCGGGCGGAATGCTCTCGCAACAATGGGAACCCTTTGCTGATGCCCTTGCCAATGCGGGGGATCCCAATGCCCTTCTCCAGGTACACATATGTCATGGTTCTAGTGGAACTTATGTGGTGGGGGGGAGTTGAATCCCACGTAGGAAATATGGGCTTCCTTTGTATGGTTTATATACGGTTGGGCTATGCAACCTCAATGATTAGCTTTTGAGGTATAGTTCTCCTAAGTTTTATGACATTGATATCAAAGTAGACATCACGTCTCGAGACCTGGTTGGAAGCGTGGTGATTTGTCATGGTTCCATGGGAATTTGTGGGGGTGTAATCCCATGTCAGAATTATGGGCTTCCTTTGTGTAATTTATATAGGCTTAGGCTCTCCAACCTCAACAGCTAGCTTTTGAGGTATGAAGTACACGAACTTCAGCACTAATGTAGTTGTGTTTTGGATCATGCCTAACATGTTGCATTTTTAGTTATTTGTTAACTTATATGTTTGTAGAAATACATGTTTTAGCTATTGAGGAAAAAATTGGTGAAAGATAGAAGGATCACAACCTGAGAGATCTGTACTTGCACAAATGAAAACAAAATATTTTGGCTTTCACTCCCTTTTACTTAAATTCTACTTTTTGTATGCACTCAAACTTTAATCTCAACCACATATTCAAGCTTACTCATCGTAATTATCCACACATTTTGTGGTCCCCATTGCTATTCCTCCTAAAAAGTTACTAATAATATATCCTAATAATATCCTACCTATTGCTTTAGGAATTACATGCACATATTTCGTAAATGTAGCTTATGCTAGTCATGTTAGTAAAGATAATTTCTCTTGATGGGATTTTAAGCTAATTTTTAGTTACTCATTTATACTATTTTGCACATACACACCGTCTTGTCACTTCCAATAAAGCCAAACTTATGTTTGACTCTTATTTATGTACTACAGTTAGAGTTGGGTAGTGGGGTAAGCCACTCGTTGCTCACCTCGAAAGCGAGTTGTGGGGCAAGCTGAGATGAGATTTTCCCATGTGAGCCACTCGCAAGGCGAGCTATTTGGTTCTCTTAGCTCAGCCAGGGACTATCACTGCCTTTTTCAACCTATAGGGCGATTTTTGCAGCCATAGGTGCTTGAAATGAAGTGCCAAGGTGTCATCATGTCAAATTCAGGAATTTAAAATTCAATTTTTTTTAAAAAAATCAAAAAATACAAAAAAATTAAAATTGGTTAGTGGTTCGGATCGCTCCACCAAGGGATGAGTTCGTGAGGTGGGTCCATTAAGAATTAGAAACCATAATTCTATTTCACTGAGAGAAATCAATTACCTTAAAGAAATAAAGACACATATAATTTATTGAGTTTCGCCTTAATGTGAGACTTTATAATCTTGGTCATTGAAGTAATTTAATATGATAAAATTTGCAAGAGAAAATTGCACATGTTTCTTCTGTGACCTCCTTTTTCTCTCTTTTATGATGGTAATGTAAAAGTCTAATGACGACTTTCTATCTATAAGACAAATTAGGGTAAAATTGAAATTTAAAAGGATTCAAATTCCGAAGACGAAATTTACAAGGACACAATTTCTAAACTGCCCTTAATGAAATTTTGGTCCTGGACTCCACATACTGGCTCCATGGAGCAGCAATTATTAGGCTTCACAACTTAACAAGGTCGAGTTGAATTTTTTTTTCTAGCGAGCCCCCCCTGCAAAATGTGCATGGGTTGGCTTGGTTCTGTCAATTAACACTCCTAAATATAAATGAGTATCTTATAGGTATCCAGTATTGATCGAGAAGTCTACAAGTAATGTTCATATTTTGGCACTAGTTTATATTTAGGGCTTGTTTGGTCTAGCTTAAAATTCAATTAAAATTGAAAATATGGTCGTTGTTGGGTCTCACTCGTCTAATAAAAGTCAACAATAATGGCTAGTTTTTCAATTTTAATCCGATTTTAATCTCTACTGAACACGCCCTTAGATATGGTTCCCTCAAGTGTGCAAGCTTGTTGGTATCTCACACATCTGACATGGGCACAATGTATGTTTACATGTATGGTTTGGAACACCATTAAGACGTTTTGAATTTGAATGAAGTTTTATTTATGATGATTGATGTTGATGAATTTCATTTTTGAGAGAATTTTATTGGCCAGTAAATTTTGATTATTGAAACAGTTGATAGACGATTTTGCGAAGAAGGAAAAGATCCCACTTGAAGGGGCCTCTGAGGGAGAGGTACTTTTGGGAAGAGACACTAGGCCCAGTGGTGTATTTCTTGCTGAGGCTGCGAAACAAGTATGGATCCCCTTAACTTCTGCCATTTCCTTATCCATATGTTTAGTATCATTATGTTAATTCATAGGAATTGTCTGATATGAGTCTATCTACAACTAAAAGTTTTCTGTCTTCGAAGCTGTGTAAAGCTCTTTGAAAGTGCTCTCTCTTACACAATTATATCTTATATTAATCCTCCAAGAGAAGCAAATCTCATGCCATCAGATTCATCTTAAGATTAGTGCCTGTACATCAGACATGGGTCCTGCAAGTGCCAGAGATTTATTTGTAGTTTATAATTAAGAATGATTATTTATTTATTTTAAATTAGACCCTTGCCTTTGTTGTGTAAAATGAATGATGTACTTGTGCTGGTTAACACATCAAGGGAATAACTTCAATTATGGGAGTCAGTGCCACCGAAATGGGAGTCATGACAACCCCTCAACTGCATTGGATGGTCCGTTCCAGAAATAATGGTGTGGAAGCATCTGAACAAAATTACTATGATCAGCTTTCAACTTCTTTCAGGTTAGTGAGTACCAGGATTGAAGAAGTCTCATGTTTCAAGTTACGTGGCCTATTTTGGCCTAGATAAAATAGTTTACAAACATGCATTTGGATGTTTATATAATTGACCAGGTGCTTGATGGAATATATTCCCCAAGGGAACAGAAACAACAATGTGAATGACAAACTAATTGTGGATGGGGCAGATGGGGTAGGTGGAGAAAAGCTTGAAAATTTGAAGAAATTGTTGAGTTATTTGAGCATCGATGTTCGTAATCGTGGTGATGGTGTACTCAATGAAGGCGTTGGTGCTGACTTTGTGCAAAAAGAAAAGGTGGTTCCACGCGGTTTTGGCTCTGCTGATGTTGGGTTTAGGTGAGCTTCCTGCTGATTCTTTTTCTTTCTGACAAGTCTGTCTTTCTATTGATTCTTGATTTCAAATTAAATTCGAGGACCTAACATTTTGAGGCCAGCTTCAAATAGGTCATATATCAGTTCTCGTTCTCCAAAGATAGAGAAGGGGTCTGTGCTCCAATGTCCGCCATAATACTTCATTCAATGTGATACTTCGTGAAAGAAAGTAGAATTATGTTCTGTTTTGTTGTGTTGTGTCAATTGCATGCTAAATAAGAGTAACTAGCTCTTTGATATTTTATATTTTTCTCTGCTAAACATATCAGAATATCTTGTTTGTCTCTTATACATGAGAATCAGCTCCCACTGGCCACTAAATTAAATTATGTGTATGTGGACCTGTATATAAATCATTGCTAATTGGTCTGTATAATTTTCATTTCTTTTATTTACTGCTGCTGTTACTACTTTGTATGCTGCATTTAGTTTTGAAGTTATTGGAAGAATGTTCTTTTAATTTTGGTTTTTCTGAGACAACAGAAAATAATTTCAAGCTGGCATATGCAATCCTTGAAGCCTTCATATTTGAACATTGTTGAATCTTTGAAATTATCTATTCGGTGATCATTTCATTTCCATTTAATAGATGGAAATGGGATCTAACTACTGGGATGGTTCTAGTATTTCAGGTGTGCCAGTTTGGATGGAGATGCTGATCGACTTGTATATTTCTCTATTGAATTAAATAGCAACAAGATTGTCCTTGTTGACGGGGACAAGATACTGTCTTTGTTTGCATTATTTATCAAGGAACAATTAAATATTCTCACTGGAGAAGTAAATAAGTCTTATCAGGCCCGTCTTGGTGTGGTGCAGACAGCTTATGCTAATGGTGCATCCACTTATTACCTAAAACAGTTGGGCTTGGAAGTTGTGTTTACTCCAACAGGAGTCAAATACCTACACGAAAAAGCTTCGGAGTATGATATTGGTATCTATTTTGAGGCAAATGGACATGGAACCATCCTGTTTTCGGAAAGCTTCTTATGCTGGTTAGAGGGTAGAAACAATGAGCTGACATCAACATCAAAATGTTAAACCAGATCCACCTCTTATATTTTATCATGATCTTCTTGCTTGCAGTAAAACTCATTTTATTGGCTGATTGCTCCAGGTTCAGAACAACAAAAGGCTGCCTTGAGACTATTAGCTGTCAGCAAGTTAATCAATCAGGCTGTGGGAGACTCATTGAGTGGGTTGCTCCTAGTGGAGGCTATCTTAAAACATATGGGATGGTCTATGCTTAAATGGAATGAGCTTTACCAAGATTTACCCAGCAGACAACGTAAGGTCAGACTGTGGTTTGCTCAAAGTTTTCTATATGGTGTAGGTAGATAGTATCTAAATAGTTATCACAAGTTTGCTAGAGACTATTTGTACTTCTGTTTTGTGAAAAAATGGAAATGTTAACTCTTGAGAAATCACTGACAATAATTGTACGACCAAGTAACCACAGAGCTTGTGTGGTATTTAGAATGATTTTTTTTGGATTCTAACAATTTTGCTCAAATACTTGTTTAAAATTTATGGTTCTACCATTGAAATGATATCTGCTGGAATGAATTTGTGCAGTTGGTGTCTAATCACATGAACTGCCCACCTTTCGGTGAAACCTTCCTTGTTCCAAATAAGTTAACTTTTCCTTTAGAATCTTCTAGGTAAACTAAAACTCTTTATTCGATTGAATCTTTTCAACAGCATTCTCAAGCCACTTTAGCTGTGGGTATATTGGTGAGTCCATTTAGGGCCACTGATGAATAGTCGTTTGTAAGGTTAGTGTGGAAAGTAATGCAGGTGCAGCTGATGATATTTACTTAAGAATATATCCAACAATGTTTGATACAAATGAGGAGGGGGCAGAAAGCTAAAAAGTCAAGAAGTTAAAAGAGTAAAACCAAAGATGGACACACACACACACACATACTAACAGAAAATATAAATGAAACCTGTCTGGTTCAAAGGCTTGTTTTGAAGCAACAATGGATGAAGGAACCTTGTTGAAATTTTATTCCAGTGGTTGAAATATGATCTTTCAGTGTAAAGTTGATTATTGGATTTGAGAAATTGAAACAATACATTTTGTTTAAACTTCTCAATGGTTTAGTATTATTTTATTTTATTTCCAAAAGCTTATTTATATTGTAATTTGATTATGGTAACACATGTCAGATAGAACAAAATTGCCCCTTGACTTTCGTAAACCTTGAAAAACCTTTAATTCCATTTATTTTGCTCTCTGACAGTATACCCTCCTATTCATCACACTGTTGAGAAGTCAAATTTTTTACATCACTCTTTATCTTCAGGTAAAGGTCATTGACAGAACTGCTGTGATTACTGCAAATGCAGAAACCGTGGTCGTGAGGCCTGTTGGTATACAAGAAGCCATTAATGCTGAAACAGGTAAATTCATTCAGTGCTATATAACAACCTTCCATGCTTACTCTGTCCGTGGAACCCGATACATTCCTGGTCTTGTGAATTGAATCAATTCGATTTATAAAGGCAAGAATCACTTCATTCTCGTGACAATAATTTATGCATCCAGATGATTTAGAAGTCCTGTAAACTCTTTAATAGTTAATAATCCTTGGAGAAGGCAATTGCACGAAAAGAAGTTTTCAATCCGAAGCTTCTCTGCTAGGCTAATATACTTTATTTTAATGTTATAGTTTATTTTTATTCATACATGGTACAAAGGAATGCACAACCCTTCTGACTTATGGTTCATTCATAGATAAAATCTGTGCTTTAATATCAGTTATGTTCTGTTCTGGTACTTGAGAAGGACCAGACATTAGACTGGACCTATAATTTGATCAAAAACTATATAGTGTAAATTTGAACCCAAGACTTGAAACAGCTTCTAGCATCCTAAAAGTTGGGTTTTGAGCTTCTTTTCATCTTGATACTTTTTTGTTTTAAATTATAATCTCCTTATGATTTATGAGTCAATGTCAAACTTTAATTTAAGCAAACATTTTGTAGGACTCACAACTATTACCTACTTATCCACACCCATTACTATCAAGTTATAATTTCAGCAACTTATAGTTTTTCCCAAACGAGCATTTAGACTTTCCTGGCAAGTTTTTTAAGATGATAAGGGGGTAAGTTACTGAGATATTTTCCTCTGAAACAAAAATACCTTCTTAGATCGGTCGTGAAAAATTTCTTCACTCCTAGATTTAATTAATATCTGTATCTGTACCAAACCTTAGGGAGCTAAAAATCTCCAAATCTTTGAGAATTCTTCTCAAAATGTGTCAACTTTTGGTGTCTCTAGCATCACACTTTTTAACTTGGCATTTACAACCTGATATGTTCACCTTTTAGGAAAAACAAAACTTTTAGTCATTGAGTACTAGAAGTATTATTTTTGGGACGTGGATTGAAGATGCTTTTGGAAGTGTTATCAAATATTAGAACTGGTGTCACACTTGATTATAAGTTCTACATTTACAAACTTTGTTTTCACATTAATCTATTAATTTATCTGTTTGGGACAAACATTAATCATTGAGAACTAGAACTATTTGAAGATGCTTTTGGAAGTGTTATCAAATATTAGAACTGGTGTCACACTTGATTATAAGTTCTACATTTACAAACTTTGTTTTCACATTAATCTATTAATTTATCTGTTTGGGACAAACATTAATCATTGAGAACTAGAACTATTTACTTTGGGACGTGGAATGAAGGTGTTTTTGGAAGTTCTATCAATTATTAGAATCATTAAGCTTATGCAGTAATGGTTATTAGATTGTTGCCTGTTGTTAAGTAGAGTGGGAAGATCAAGTAATTGTTATTAAAGTGTCGTCTGTTAGTAATTAGAAAGAGAAGATCATACTAGTCTTGCTGAAGTTTGCCTTTGGTTATACTTTATTCTTGAGGGTTCAGAGTTTCAGTGAAGTACCCAATTCTAAACTACTATGACACAGGAGATGAAATGCCCTTTATCCGCATGTACAAGGAAAATAGAAGAGAGGGAAAATTCGGAAAGCAAAAGGAAAATAGAACACTCTTTAACCCTTCATTTACCAAAATGCACATCCTCAAGGCTGCTTGATCACTTCAACTCTCTGCAGGTTCACTTCAGTTGGCATGTATGGATGTCAGTGTGAACCCAATTGCACGCTTCAAAATACTCTGGAAATTGAACCACTTATTCGACTGCCATATTGTGTCTAGAAAACTATAAGTATTTCAAGGACTTCTTGAAGGCCTCTACTGAACTAAGAAATTCCTAAAAGTATGATATAGCTTGACATGATGATGAACGTAAGAATGCAAATATTAGGCAATTAACAGTGAGAGATAGCATCTGACCGTTTTGTGCCTAAAATTTCATTAGGTAGTTTCTTAAGGCAGCCATTGGTGGTTTTCATGAACACAGGATCTTCTTTTTGCCTCCATTTTTAATGTTCCGAGTGTTGTGAGGAAGGACCTCAGAACAAGCTGGTGCAAGCCGGTGCCGATTGAACTCTAGTTTCAGATAAGCAAACTGAAGTATCTGTGATATCATGTTCCTCAATAAGCCAAATCCTTAAAAATAATAATTGATCTTGATTTGCCCCTAAATTCTTATCCGATACCGCATTTATAGTTGGAAAAATAAACTGCAGTCAAGCGATATTTTATTTCAATAAAGCAATAGCTTCATTGCTATACAATATAGGTCTCCTTATTGCTAGTTAATTTATTTACGGACACGTCTATAGTAAGGCTTATGTAGAATTTTTTATATTCTTCCCTGAATTGAGAATGTATATTTCTTGACTAATCGCAGCTGTAAATTTGTCAGAAGAATTTTGGTTGGCTTTGAAGTGGCTTCAGGATGTGGCATAGATGATAAAATTTGTCTAGTGAATTTTCTTATGGTTAAGGGCTAGCGAGGTCTCTCTAGATGTGGTGCTAATGAACTAAAAAATTGTAATGTATCAATTGTAAATCAGCTCACCTTAAAAGAGTTTGAAAGACAAGTGGAAATTATCCCCAAGTGAGCTAAGCAAGGGATAGAACTCTCTAAAATAAAGGCAAGTGAAAATGAGGCCATTTCCAAGGAAATTTATAAAGGATGGTGCATGCAGTAAAAAATTATCGCATAGCAAAAATAGGGGCAATTGTAGCAAGCATAAGTTTACTGATTGCCAACCCCAATTCTCCTGGCCAAGTATAAATGATATTAAAGTGTAAACCTCATAGATTTTATTGTCATTTGCTGCAATTAATAACCATTAATCATTGAGATTGAGCAAACTCAAGTTCATAACTTGTTAAAAGGATGACTTCATTACTTTTGTAATCAATTTGGGAGCCGTTTGGATCCTGTTGTGTATGTATTTACGCATTTATATCGTTTGTTATTCCAAGTATTCATTGCTAAGTTTGGAAATGCTGACATAAACTTCTCATTTGACTCTGTGTATCTCAGCTAAATACCCACAAGGCAGATGTTTTATACGGCCTTCAGGAACAGAAGACGTTATAAGAGTGTACGCTGAAGCGATCTCCCAAGAAGCAGCAGATAGTTTAGCTAATTCAGTGGCGATGCTGGTAGATCAGTTTCTTGGATTCAACACTACTAAATGAACTCACTCCTTGCTATTGTGCTCTCTTTAGCTAAAATATCTGGATGGAGCTTGTTATGTTGTAGATTTTTAACTAGCTTTCGAAATATGAAGTGGCTTCATATCTCAAGTAACCTCTTCCCATGAGGGGAATTATTGTTTCTTGAATTCTTGCAGTTTTGATATTCCATATTATTCATGGGAAAATTGCGGCCATGGTCCCAAAACTTTCATTTTGTTGCAGATTACACCCAAACCTTTCATTTTTGCGATCGAAGTCCCAAACCTTTATATGTAGTTGCAGCGTCGATCCCAACCCTTTAATTCCGTCCATAAAACCGTCGGTCAACGTTTCAACAGTAATTTTGACTCGAAAAAATTGCAGCGATGGTTCCAAACCTTTCATTTTATTGTAGATTACACTCAAACCTTTAATTTTTGCGGCCGAAGTCCCAAACTTTTATATATAATTAAGTGTTGGTCCATTTCATGCATTCCGTCCATAAAATCGTCAGTCAACTTTGAAACAGTAATTTTAACTCAAATGACATCTTAATTTATGGGTAAAATTGTCAAAATAAGTTATTCTAAAAAAATGTTTGTTTTCTTCAAATCTTTCAATCTTTTTACAATCATCACATTCTCATTATCGATAACTATCTGATGAGATAAAAATTCGATCTAATTTGTTATAATAATCGAATCCATAAATAATTTTTATGCCATGTTATTTATCACTTAAATAAATAAATAAATTAGAAAATAAAAATGAATAAATTGCATTTGATACTATAATTTGTATGTATTATTATATAATTTTTAGATTGATTAAGAATTAAAAATAATACTAAAATAAGAAAATACTTTTTTAATAAGAAAATAACTTTGTAAATGTTTAGACAAAGCCTACGCATAGATATTATTAAAAAGATATTTTCTTATTTTAATATTATTTTTAATTTTTAATCAATCTAAAAATTATTTAATAATACATATTATAGTATCAAATGCAATTTATTTATTTTTATTTTCTAATTTATTTATTTATTTAAGTGATAAATAACATGCCATAAAAATAATTTATGGATTCGATTATTATAACAAATTAGATCGAATTTTTATCTCATCAGATAGTTATCGATAATGAGAATGTGATGATTGTAAAAAGATTGAAAGATTTGAAGAAAACAAACATTTTTTTTGAATAACTTATTTTGACAATTTTACCCATAAATTAAGATGTCATTTGAGTTAAAATTACTGTTTCAAAGTTGACTGACGATTTTATGGACGGAATGCATGAAATGGACCAACACTTAATTATATATAAAAGTTTGGGACTTCGGCCGCAAAAATTAAAGGTTTGAGTGTAATCTACAATAAAATGAAAGGTTTGGAACCATCGCTGCAATTTTTTCGAGTCAAAATTACTGTTGAAACGTTGACCGACGGTTTTATGGACGGAATTAAAAGGTTGGGATCGACGCTGCAACTACATATAAAGGTTTGGGACTTCGATCGCAAAAATGAAAGGTTTGGGTGTAATCTGCAACAAAATGAAAGTTTTGGGACCATGGCCGCAATTTTCCCATGAATAATATGGAATATCAAAACTGCAAGAATTCAAGAAACAATAATTCCCCTCATGGGAAGAGGTTACTTGAGATATGAAGCCACTTCATATTTCGAAAGCTAGTTAAAAATCTACAACATAACAAGCTCCATCCAGATATTTTAGCTAAAGAGAGCACAATAGCAAGGAGTGAGTTCATTTAGTAGTGTTGAATCCAAGAAACTGATCTACCAGCATCGCCACTGAATTAGCTAAACTATCNTTACTATTGAAACGTTGACTAACGGTTTTATAGACGAAATTAAAGGTTTGGGACCGTCGCTGCATCTACATATAAATGTTTGGGATTTCGGCCGCAAAAATGAAAGGATTAGGTGTAATCTGCAACGAAATGAAGGGTTTGGGACCACGGCCGCAATTTTCCCTATTATTCATTCAAAACCAAGAAATTCCTCTATTTCTCACATATTACAATTTACAAAGTGATACTTATAGTTTTATATGCATCTATGCCTCGGTTTGACAATATTTAAATTGGTCAAATTTCATTTTTAACCATATTACAATAAACAAACATGTATTATTTATCACTTATTTTTATTTTTATTTATTATTTAAATTATTTATAAATTTGGATCAGCATTTTCCTTTTAGACTAATAAAACTTGCATTTTCCTTATAGTACCTCCCTTTTTAGGCACACATTGTACTGGGCTAATCCATATACTGTTTGAGATCAGGTAGATAATTCTTACATCCAAAAGTTTTTACACTTCTACTTTGACTATCTCTTTCATATTCGAATTTAGCCTCCACTGCCAATCTATACTCGGTTTAAAATTCTCCACCATGAGAATCTTGTGCATGCAAATAGAAGGGTTGATCCCTTTTATGTTGGCAATAGACCACCAATAGCTATTTTGTTGTCTCTGAGTACCCGAGGTAGCATTTCCTCATCCGTCTTGTTAACTGAGTTTGAAATGATAGCTAGAAGTGTAGACGATTCCCCTAAATAAGCATAATAGAGATGCGGTGGTAGTTGTTTGAGCTCTAACTTTGGAGACTGCTGAATTGAAGGCAGTGTCTTTGTAGGACCGGTTCCCAACTCCTCAAAATTTCTTTTTCTTGCATATGCCTCAATCTCACTAAAATCAAAGTGAATGGATTAAGGATGTACAATACATGCCTCACATGCATATGATGGACTGTGTATTTGAAAGGTTTCATGAATCATCCAATCAACATTTATCTGGAAGCAACTGTCTGACTTAGTAGGAAACTTCATCTCTTTGAACACATTTAATGAAATCTGATCTTCTCCCAGCCTCAGAATTAGTTGACCATTCTAAACATCAATAAGAGCTCTCCCAGTAGCTAAGAATGGTCTGCCCAATATTAGTGGAACATCTTTATCTTCCTACATGTCATGGATGAGAAAATCAGCAAGGAAGATGAATTTTTCCACTTTGATTAGCACATCTTCACTGATCCCTCTAGGATGAGTAATGGATCTATCGGCTAGTTGTAGAGTTACCATAGTTGTTTTTACCTCTCCCAATCCAAGTTTACTAAAAAAAAAAAAGTGGCATCATATTAATACCTGCACCAAGATCACATAAAGTTTTATCAAAATAACAGTTTCCTATAGTGCAAGGTACAGTAAACTCCTTGGATCTTTTAACTTTGGAGGTAATTTTTTCTGAATTCCAGTGCTACACTCCTCAGTCAACATCACCGTTTTGTGTTCCTTCGGCATAGCTAGGCATTTGAGTAAGTGCATAGGCAAACTGAATGTTGAAATGATGTTTCTTGAAGATATCTAGGAATTTCATGTACTGTCGATCCAACTTGTGCTTTTTAATCTCTGAGGAAATTGAATATGAGGCTCATAAGGAGTGACAGGGACGGTTGCCTTAACCCCGTGGTGTATCTGAACTCTCTTTGGCAGGTGTTTTCATTGCTTGTTTAGTCTGTTTCACGTGCTTCTCATCTGAAAAAGGTATTATGCCATTTGCAACTAGCCTCTTAACATGTATTTCGGGTGATTACATCCCACTCTTTGTAGTGATAGCTTTGGCATGTTCATTCAGATTTACTTTTGTATTGCTTAGTAAAGCACCCAGTGCTCTGCCTGTCATGGAAATTGCCAATTGCCCCACTTGAGTCTCTATGTTCTTAATTGAAGCATTTTGATTCTGGATGACTGTTTTTCCATGAATCTAATAAACATCTCCTCTAAATTATTTTTTTTCTCTTGCTGTTGATACAGCCCCTGGGGTCTATTTCGATTTTGATTCTGACTCCCACCCGAAGAGAAATTTGAATGCTTCCTCATACCAGGATTGTAGGTGTCTCCATTCTGATTGTTCTGTTGGCCATGATCCCATTGTGCATAGTCTACTTGTTTAATTCCTTGTTGAAGAATTGAGCAGTTAGTTGTATTGTGGTTTGCCCCACATTATTCACAACAGGGCTTTTTGACTTATATGGCTTTAGCTGACTGTGTCATGCTCTCTATCTTATGAAATAAATAATCAATCTTTGTAGAGAAAGCCGCATAAGTATCAGCCTTATATATTCTTTTTCTAATTGTTGCGCTTAGAAGACAAAAATCCAAAGCATCTGGTACTGTTCTAATGGATATGGAGCTATTAGATAAAGAACTACCATGTTTTTAAAATTTTGGAGTAGTCCTATATAGAAGTATTGTATTTGGGTTCTCCTATCGAAACCATGTTAAGGGCACTTCCGTAACATGTTTCTGAACCTATTCCAAACTTCATCAAAAGCTTCTGACTCACCTGACGAAATATAGAGATATCATGCCTTAGCCATGCTACTTTTGCTGGTAAAAAGAACTTGGTGTAGAATTTTTTAGCCAAATCATTCGAAGTGTTGATGATGGCGACTGTAAGCAAATCTAACCATTCAAGTGCTCGATTTCGTATAGTATGTGGAAACTATCTCAATCGAATGGCATCATCTAAGATCCCCTGATATCTGAAATGTTGGCACATATCCAGGAATCGGGATACATGCGCATGTGGGTTCTAAGTAGGTAGTCCATGAAACTAATGTCTATTCTTGAATAAATGGATGACATTGGTCTTCAGTTGAAAGTTGGGCTACCCGAATGGAGGATAGACGATACTGAACTGGCTCTGAATAGTGAGAAGGGTCATGAAATCCCCAACTAGCATATTTTCGTCTTCCTCCCCCATGTTTGCTTGAACTACTAGATTAGCCACCGTATTTACTTGATTAAGCTCGTTCTCCACTTGTTGCTATTTTTGGTATTTTTATGTGCTTCTCTTTGCCCATGTTCGATTTTTGGATCAACTGAAATTATATCACTGCCATCGAACTTCACATACAATGCCGAAATAGAAACACTTAGATAAAGAAAAAACTAATAAAATAAGTTAGAATTAATACCAAGATAAATAAAA